GGGGGGGGGGGAGAAAAGATCTGAGATACGATACAAATTTGAATTGGGCTAACATATTATTACTATTCGTTGGGTTACGGTGATCGCAAATTATGATATTAGAATGCACACGGGACACGACACGCTACGAGGCAATCTAGTGGACCCGGTTTCACGTTACCTACTCTCAGATACGGTATCTACTAGTAAAGGTATGCGAATCTTAGCGACCTTAGTAAATCACATTAAAACAGCGCTAAGCTTCTGGGAGTTGCTAGAACCATATAAGCTCATCGGAAGACGTTTAGTAAAGTATTAAAATCTATGCGTGGTTTCTCTAGAAAGTAACGAAATACCTAAGCGACAAGAATAAGACGTAGGAAAGACGTAGGATACGCAAAGATAAGCCATTATGCGTTTGGCTGTGATACATACGAATGACGTGGGGAGAGAGTTTGTTCAAAGTTGCTCATCTCCGCTGGCTGGTGTTAGTTCATTGGGAGAAGTTCGTACAATTACTGGCGGATCCAAAGGTGGTTGCTTACGTCGTGGGCTTTGGTCATTCCCTTCACGTTCTGCACTAACATCTGGGCTCGATTTTCGGATTCCAAACCATCGAGCGAATTTTTCGAGACGTCCTTCCTAAGAGTCACTTTTAAATGTCAAGTTGATAAAAGAGCTGTAAGGTACATTGACATTAGATGAAACGTAAAATAAGAGACTTTAAGAATGGCATAGGGGCATACAAAGATTTTCGGTCAAAAAACTGGGAGATGGGGTAAAAGAAATCAAATATTTAGATTTTAGAAGAAATTCAAGCAGGAAAGTAGGATGCAAAAAAAATAGGAGTTGAAGAAAGAAGAAGTTATGTCAAGTTTGATAAGCAAAAACTATGCCCTCTAGAAACGAAGATGGTCTCAAAAAAACGCTCAATAAAATTTAAAGACAATTTGAATTATCCCTTTTTCTTAGAAACCATCTTCAAAGTTAATTTCTCAGCTTTATCAGGACATTAATCTATGAATAAAACATAGCTTTTTAACATACTAATCAATCATTTAGATTTAAGCTATACTGTATGAACATCTTATAAAGGGAGTTACTTTAACTTTTCTTTTAGGACTAAAAATCTAAAAAGTTTTCACAACCCATAAAAGGGTCTCTTAAACATAACTCTTAAATTTACTACGCCGTAAAGCCGCTATTTGTGGAGCGTCAGAGAGCACAAGGGAGAAAGAGGATAGTAAGCTTTAGAGTAAGAAAATAATCTAAAAAGAAGTAATGTGAGATGACAAGGGTATAATTGTAGAAGAAAAGCTGATTAGTCATTGATGTGGGTAGATAAAATAAATTCTAAGAAAAAAAGTATGTGGGTTGTTTCTATTTACCTTTAACACATCCATATCAGACAATGTATGCCTTCGTGTTGGATCACGTGGTCCTGTCTTGCTACGAATTCGAATTTTTTGCTGACATCGTGCTTCTGGCAACACTCCTAACACTTGCGGACGTTGACGGGGTGATGCGGATGCGTTTCGAGCGCATGGACTTGGATCGCTAAAGCTGAAACATGGCAGTTAAGCGTAACTGAATAAGAATTATAGGTTGTCTTGGGTTATTCTTACCTAGAAGCATAGTCTGACGACGACGCAGCACAAGCTACAGCCAGAGGAGCAGTCAGCGGGGCTGAACTAGTGGTGGAATAATCCGAAGTGCACGATAAGGCATCGGTCATGTCCTTGGTGGGAGAGCCAGTCTGAATATAAGAAATAATAAAAAATTAGGAGTGATAGGGCAGCAAAGACAGTTACCTTCGGAATTTCCGGCGCAGTACTTGTAGGAGGCGCTTCCCGATGGAGAGGCGGTGAAGGGACAGATGGTGCCATATGGCTTGTGTTCGCAACATGCGAAGGGATAGTGAATGGTAACGGATCCATCCAATTTTGGCGCCGTTGCATTTTACGAATTTTCTCTCGCGTTTCTTCGCTAAGGACCTAAAAAGTGAAAGTTTTGGGAGATTTGAAAAATATAGGAAAAAATCATCTAGATCCGACCTCTAAGGCAGGAGTATTGGCCATATTCAAATGTTGTGTATGATTAGCAAGCGCATCTACAGCGCTGCTATCATCAGCTGCTGCTGCTGAACCGGCGATAAAAATCCTGCGAGCGGAGTAGATATCCTGAAAATCCAGAAAATCAAAAACTAGCTAAACAAACAAATAAACCACAATTGCAATACCTGTTGCCTCTTCCGTCTTGCTTGAATTTCGCCCGCCTCCGTCATTGAGGTTGTGGTGGTAGTACCTGGATCTGTACGACTGGTATCCGGAATGCTCCCTAGGCTGGATTCAACAGATGGGCTTTGCTCTAATGTGGCTGCTGATGCTGTAGCCAGGGGAGAAACAGTTTGTCGCGACATGATTTCAGCATCAATATCGCGTTCCTAAATTATAAAAATAAAAATTCTGGACTCGTAAGACCGATATTTTTGCCGACAAAAATCACAAAATTCGCTGATTCTTCCTAATATAATAGCCATTTTAACAAACAAACCTGATAATTTCCGCAAAACGCGCTATCCACACTACTTTGCGCTGTTGGTGAATGGGTAACGTGTGTAGGTACGGGGTGTTGAGAGGTGTGGTTGGCCACTGTGGCGCCACCGCTCCTTGGATTCATCGCTGCTGCTGCCGTCGATTCAATTTTTAATTTTGATTTCGATTTGTCTCGTCGCGAGTTCCGCCGCAGGATATTTTTAATCTGCAATATATCACAATCTTTTCAGAAAAGAAGAAATTAAGAAAGAAACAAATAAAATAACGTCATCTGCCCTCTTTTTATATCACTCACCTTGCCTCCTTTTCCTTCATTCATCATTGCTGCGGCCTGATCTTCGTTAGCTTTTCGAATCATATTATGCATATCATTAAAGGACGCAGCAGATACACCCGTTGGCACTCCAACACCATAATGTGGTGCTTCTAGTGGTGGACCGCCTAAAACATATTTTTAACTGTTTGAAAAGCTGGATTCCAAGGAACAAAGTATTCTCACCAGTTTCTGAAGGGTGTTGTTCTGGAACAGCATCGTCGGCGGGGGAGTTGTCGTTAAACATCCACTCATGCTAAAAAAGATAATTTAGAAGGTAATCGTCTTGCAATATAAGATTTTTGGGAAAATCTCTCTCTTATAGTTTTTA